GATTATTGACAAATACCTTGTCGTGCCTCTCATTTACTTACGCAAATATAGATTTCTATTGGTTTCTTTTAAACAACTGTTTTAGCATCAAATCTACCCCTTAGATGATTCAGTTGACTTAAAAATACACTGTTCTAATGTTTTCTCAGCAAAACACACTCTCTTCAGTGAAAAAAAAAGAAGATGAATTTCCAATAGATATCATATTGAAACTTTTAAAAATACAGAAGCATGGTGCATGTTTTAAATAAGTGTACCTCTCTAGGGAATTTTTCTCATCAACTCACAGCTAAATCCCCCTTGGGCTTAAGCCCCATGTACTGATTACTGGCCCCAGCATATTTTGCTAGAATGTTATAAATATTAAGGCATTGAAAGATGCTTAAATAAAGTAATAAAGACACTCGTCCCATAATAAGGGCCTCCACTTATGCACAGGCGAGAGGCAGCTCCACCACAGAGCGCAGTCCCCATCACGCCCTACTAGTGACCTCCACGCTGACCTGCAGAGACCACTGTCTCAAGGGGTGACAGACAATTTAGTCCTTTATCCTTTTGTCGTTGGAAACGACTCCACTGCCATAAATTCTAATCAAGTCAAACTGGATGGCAATTTAACGAAAAAAAAATCTTCTAATGCATGTTTCTGTGAGAAAGATAACGGAAAGGAAAGGGAAAGAAAAACCCAATAGCTAGTACATTTGCTCGCTAGGAAGAATCACTGACCCAACTTTCAACCCTTTTGCAATACTTCACAGATAGATGACATTGAAAACACCCACCCTTACAAGTATCATTGCATGCAATTTCTTTTAACCTAGAAACACACAGTATCACGAGAGAAAACCAACCATCAATTTTTATTTCAGGGATGATGTTTATAAATGGGGTTTGGTTTGGTTTGGTTTACGTCTCAGCTCCTGCACTGTGGTACAAGGCAGCAGTGAGCCACAGAGACTAGCCCAGCCACCCAAGGTAGTTGGGACTTGAAGAAAGCAATCATGAGGTTTAACTTGAAACAATAAAAATATTCCCAGGAGGAAGACTGTTAATAAATCATCCCCCGAATTTCAAATCTATAGGAGAGAAAATATTTAGGGCATGTTTTATACGGCCTCACTTCTTCTGCTGAGACTGCACGGGCAAACTTTAGTACAGATATTTTTCTGGGGATATATATTATTTTTATCCTTTTCTGGGGCCATTTTCCTCAGCAAGTTGTTGATGCTCCCATTTGAATTTTAGCATCCAACTTGACTGAATGCGGAACACTGAATTCTTGATGGGCATAACTAAAAACGAAGCACCACGTTGACACGCGTGCTATAAATGTCACCAGAGAAACACAGCAACCTCTTCCCTTGGAGACTGTATGCCAAAGGCCAGTTTCGGGAATGGCTTCGAATATGTACATCACTCATCACATAGTAAATGACCGGCCCAGCGTGGCATCACTCATCCGATCACGCAGCTGAAACACAGTCAGACACAGAGCCAGATTCTCTGATAATACCCCCTGACATGCAAGTCTACTCTCCTCCACACTGTTTCCTACGGCTCAGAGCTTAGCATAATACAGTCGTGAACGGAAGAAAGGAAGAGCTGTTCCACAGGCTTTGCGAGAATAAATAATGCACCACTTAACGATATCACAGAGAACGGGGCTAACCACATGCTTCTCAATGAAACGTGGATTCATCTCTCCTAAGTGTACTTTAGTTTCCATGGCTGTTCACGTTAAGCAAAACATTACCTCTGATGTAATTACTTTATAAAACACAAGGGCCCTTTTCTGAACTTTCTCCTTAGGCTGGCATATGGCTCCCAGTTTCTCCTTCTGGTGTTCTGAGCTGCTCAGAGCACTGAAAGATTCTGCACGGTCTGTTTCCCTTTGAATGCTGCTAAGTGCAGAGGGGCAATTTAAGGAGAGGCGTAAAAGGCCCAAGGGTTCCTGGAATTTCCTTTGTTATCCATAGAGGGCATCAGTATGAGCCTTTCTGCTGTAGTTTTAGGCTGAAGGGGCCGTACTGGGAGAGAAACAGACTTGTCCTCTGGACTGCTAATTTCAGCAAGACACAGAAGGGGGGACTGAGCCCCAAAGAAACCCATTGGTACTGAAATTTCAGGTACCATGAGAAAACGGGGCTCTTCTTGTCTCCTGTCGTTGGCAAATGTCTTTCCACAAAACGGAACCTATCAGGATGCACGTGATTTGTCCTAACCTGTTCCTTTCATTACAGAAGCTCAGTTTCCCAAAATACAAGGAATGTGCTATAAGAATGATGGTTTGAGAGAAGATGTTAGAAAAGCATTGTGTGGTGAGAAGCCTAGATGCTCTCAGTTATTCAAGAAGAATGTAATTCTTCATTACCAAGTAAAGAGTATAATTATCACGGTATATTAAAACAATAAACTTGAACATACTCCTGTGAGATAAAAGAACAGTGCATGGAATGATTACCCATTCAGTGTGGCCGAAGTTGCTGAAAATCCTGAGAGAGAATTACTCCAGAAAGTTTCAGCCAGTTACACAAACTAGAATTCCTAATGTTAATTTCCCATAATATTAAAAGGTGACAGCATAGGAGACCCGGCAGCTAAGGAAACCTCAGGGAACATTGAGATGCCTTCCTTCTGAGGCACTTTTTAATTTTTTCTATCTCATATGGTCTCCAATTCTTTTTTTTAACTTTTCAAAACTGCTCATCTCTTGCTTGCTTCTTACCGAATTGAAAACTGGAAAATATTCACATTGTGTTTGAAAAGCACTCTAGAGACCAAACAAAATTAAGTGAATAAACAAGAAGTATTAGCTGTTAGGGTGCAGGTTTTGCTGGGTTCTCTCTCACAAACTCTGAAGATGAGCATCCAGCGTAAAGATGCCCAGATCCACTAAGATTTCTAAACTACACTGTGATTCCTTAGTTTACCCCATTAAGCTGTTACTTAAGGTATATTTTCAAAGAACTTTTAATTCCAATTTCTTTGACCCTCCTCCCAGCCTTTTTAAGCTTATTTCTCTACACATGCCAATCAGTAAGAGGTAACATCACAAATCTATGACAATTTTGAACACTGGAAAATCTAAATAAATGTTGAGAAGCCAAATTAATTATCCCTCCATTGGTTTACTAGGAAAAAACAAAACAAGTTGAGGTTTTAAGTCAAAGTCTTACACACAGCATTTACTTTTAAAAAGTGCACACAAAGTTTAGGAGCACATAATCCATTATCTGCAGTTGTGTTGAATTCACAATTGATCACTTTTTAAAAGTCCGAGTGCTTAGTAGCACATTCAACATCAAAGAAGCTAGAGCATGGCTTTCGCATTCCTGTAATTTACAATTTCCTCTGACTTCTCTCACTAACCCCTTGAAACAAAATGAGTATTTCAGGACATAATTCTTTCCACACAGATAAAAACTGAGACCGCAGCAAAATATTTCTTTAGAGTGAAAAATGCTAAAACCTTAATGCCTAGGTATGGAAAATTTATGTCAGAGGTGGTAACTGTTGCTTTTTGAAGAAAGGGTAACGTGACAAAATTTCTTGAAACTGGACTATCTTACGTTCTTAACTATAAGACAGGATTTTACCAACAGAAAATCTGAGACAGAAAGTTTGTCTGTGACACCCCTCTGATGTTCAATTGAGTATTTAAAACCAGAGGAAAGCTCCCCTGTTGAAGCTGGCCTAGAGTTGCCAAACTATCTAAGCTGCTTTCTTTCTATAGGTTTAAAAAAAAAGTTATCTTTTTAACTGATTTAGTGACTTTCTTAACAAAGCAGTCTATACAGTGATGTTGTGTCTTTTTGAAGTTTAGGCTCGTGACTGTTTTTAACCTGAGACCAAGCAGTTCTCTGCCTGATATACATATATATATATATACACACACACACATACATACACATACACACACACACACACACATACACATATACACACACACACATATATACCAGGTTAGAATATATATATGTATGAACAGGTTAGTGTGTGCTATATGTGTGCATATATAGTATATATTTAATGCTGTAAGTACATAAACACTTGAAAATAATTAAAAGCAAGTGCTTCAGGAGCAACTGTTCTGCAAACCTAACGTCACTCCATCCCACAAAGTGCTTCTCCAGCAGAGACATCCATCACCATCCATCACTCAGTCACGCACCTCAACAGCCCGCTCCCCTTTCTGATTAGAGATCACAGTTGCTTGAGTTGGCTTACAGAGTGTCATCTGTTTGAATGACAGATGTCTTTGCTGGAGTGGCACTCTGCTTGTTTCGGGTTTGTTTACCAAACAAAGATTTCTAAAAAGGTTCTGGGCTGCTTGCATGTTTAGGAGGAGGCTGTAAACATCTGTTAAAGGGGAGAGGCTGACGGAAGGGAGGCCAAGGACCTAGTTTCTCTCCCCATCACCCTTGTAAAAGAAGAGAGATTCATTCTAATTGCAATGACAAGACGTTATTTCTTCAAGCAATCCCCGTGGCCACCTTTGTTTACCTGGCCGAGAATGACCCGTATTGATATTTTTCAGTCCCCCCCCCTCGCCTTTAGACTACAGATAATAACTCTTTACTCTCCTTCCCCTTAACAAAAGGCTGCGAAGCCACCCGAAACCAAGTCGATATTTATTCAATAAACGTTAACCAATTCTCACAATGGAACTGATTTCCTGATGATTAGGACCATCTTCTTTTTTCTTTTTTTTCCAAATGATTTCTAGCCTGGGGACCCTAGCTGTCTTTGACCAGTCCAAAGGGGGCAGGAGGAAGTTCCTTGTTGGGAAAAGTTTGGAGGACATCCTCCCAGCTGGCCGGAGTCAGCCACGGCGCCTCGGCCCCTCCAAGATGCCAAGATCCTCTTTGGTACTTAGAAGAAAATTGAATGAACAAGAAGAAGAAGAAGAAAAAAAAAAAAAAGAGGAGGGGGTGGGGGGGTGTGGACTGCTCTTCCGGACAACAGGGTAGGAGTGAAATGAAATACCTAGACAGACTTACCGAAGAGCCTGCTGGGAGTGTCCTCGCTGTCATTTGATTCCACAGGCACAAGCAGGGGCTCATTCAGCTCGCTGTCTGAAGTAGCAGCCTTGTCCTCACCTCTCAACTCCGCATTCATTTCACTCCGCACTGACAGCAAGGGCTTACTGACTTGTCCAGCTATCATTGGATCCTAGGATGGGGGGAAAAGAGTGAAGGGGAGGAAAAAAAAGTGGCAGCTTTAGTGTGCGTGTCCTCTCTCTCCCTCTCCTCTTCTCTCTCTCTCTCTCTCTTTCCTACACACGCACACCCCTCTCCCTCTCTCCTCTCTCTTATCTCTGGCTGCGCCCGCTGTTATTGCTGGCTGCAGTCAAGTGAAGAGCTATTACAGATCCGAGGAGTTCTCCATTACTCCCCACCCTATTAAAGCTCAACTGGCATGTGAGAGATTCAGGAGGCTTCGGAGAAAGAGGAGAGGGGGAAAAAGAAAAAAAAAAAACTTCTTTGAAAGCAACCTAACCAACACAGCTTTAATTGTGGCATGTGCTTTTGTGCGAATGTTTTTACACCTTGCGCTGTCTTTAATGCAGTCAGGGGAAAAAAAAGGAAGAAAGAAAGAAAGTGCGGGGTTTGTACTTCGGCAACACACTAAAAAGAATGGAGCACCCTATGGGGGAACCACGGGCTATTTTAGGAAGCCCTCTCCCTGGGGGACAAGCAATTAAACCCAATCCCGAGAGCAGAGAAAAGAGAGACGGAGAAAGGGGTCCTCCCAAGGCTTTCAATGGAATGAAAGAGATTTCTTATGTAAATTCTCTAAGCACCCTTAGAAGTTGACTTCGCGGGTCCCAGATTCGGGACGGAAGCTGACCCCAAATCAAATGAACATTTTAAAGCAAACAAGACACAGCAAAATCTAGGAAGGTTGGTTTTTTTTTTAAAAAGGAATTGGAAAAATACTTACAAACTGTGTTCAATAATTCGGATACCTAGAGCATCCTATGCCCAGAGCGTTAAAGAAAAAGAAAACAAAACAAAAATCACGTCCGAAAAGGCAAACTCAACCCCCCAGCAACTGAAATCTGCTTTATCTTCAGCTCATTACGGAGGGCACTTTAGGATCAGCAGTATTTTCCAAGGGTAGCCTTTTATCCCATTTGCAAACTAAGAGGTGTGCTACTGTTGTGGCACGATACTGGATGCAGAAGGGGAAGAAAAGCCAGAAGTGCCCTTTTTGCGTTATCTGGGAGCTATTTATTGCCAAGTTCATGCCTAAATGGTTCCTGAGCAGGAAACAGGTGACCAGCGCAGGAGCAGGTGGGGCGGCACACTCTCTTGTCCCATCATTTACATGGGTTGCAGTATGCCTGTGGGTTTTTTTTTTTTTAATGTATTCATGCCTGAAAAGTGAATTTGATATGACACATGATAATCTATGAAAATGTTAATCAATACAAATAGTTTAAGCTGTCATCAAATGCACTTCTTTAGTCAATACTCATCCCACAGAAAACAATGTCACTGTCACCAGGGCTCAATTTGCACAGGTCTTAAATATTGGACTCTGTGCATCAATGCACTTCTTCTTCAAATACTGTAGGTAAACACATTTTCTCCCTATTTAAGGCTGAAGCACTCAGCACGCATTTAGCTGAGCCGAATCCTCCCTTTTGAATACCTTGATAGGTCCACTGGAGGGCAAAATTAATACTTAATTGAATCTCACAGTCATCAAAATAATCAATACTTTTTTATTATTTATTCTTTACAGTCTGTTGACTGTTTCAAACCTCTGAGGGAATGGTGGAAAGGATTCATGGCTTTGAAACACTGTCATTTAACAAGGTAATTTTCGGTGGGGCATTAGGGGTTGTGAAACATATAATAAAACAAAAATGGTGGCTTATAATAGGAAGAAAGAAAAGAATTATATTTCTGCCATCTAACAAAACAGGATAAATAAAAAAAGCAAGTGCAGAGAGAGCGAGCGAGAAGGGGGGGGGAGGGAGCGAGGAAGACTGGCTTTTGAAGGGTTTTATCATATCAAGAGCAGAGCCGAGCTTTCATAATGCTGACATTTCTCATCCTGACAATCCTAAACAAGTGGAAAGGATGAGATCCCAGATATCATCTTTCATCACATTCTCCAGCTTAAGAACCAACATGACAGCTTCTCTCCCCTTTACACTGTTAATTACTAAATAAAATACTACTCATTGTCAGCATCAGATTATTGCAGATAGCAACCACAAACATCTCTCCGTTGTCTCCCCCCTCAGAAACGGGGAGACCTACCTTGAACTCTTTAGAAAATAAATTAGGCTTGTCTCACCACATGGTAAAATTATTTGCAACGGAATCAATGTAATCAATGCGGTCGATCCACAGTATTGTCAGCCTAAATTTGCAGGGGATAGATTAGCATTTCATTTACTGTGTTTGGAAGCTGCGACTGGGAGTGTTTAAAAATGGGGGGTCGTTGGGCGGGGGAGGAATGGGGCAGGCAGAGGGAAAAGACGACGCAAAATTCTCCAAATCTCCCCAAATTTCCTTCCTATATGTAGCTAAGAAAGAACATGTGTTTGGATTCTTCTGATTCAGTGAGCAGAGTGGACTGAGGAAGGAAAGGGAACATGGCTTTACCTCAGAGCATCACGGGAAGTAAAGAGCTCAGGTTTAAATTCTAGTGCATTCATTTTACTTTATAAAAGCTTGAGCCCTCAATCTCTCTGATCTAAAGGAGGGGGTATGACTTGTACCTTTGAGATACCCAGTTTCTGAGGCCACACTGCTCATTTGAGCAATTTTGAAGGTGGTGTTAATGGTAAACTTGTGTTTAGAGTGACATGCCCTACCCTCCTGATAAGCCAACCATGGTTATTAATGTGTCCGGGAGTATCTTGGTAGACTTCTAGTCCCACCTTATCTGTGAATGATCAAACTGAACCCCGAATCATATAGAGGAGCCAGAATGCAGCTGCTAAGTTCAAGTGCACTTAAGTCTTTATGATGTTCAGTCTGGCTGATGTGGGCAAAGCAGGTACCGGCAGATGGTGTCTGTTCACCGACCATTAGCTTTTCTTTAAATTCCTTTTATGAACCTCATCCAGGTCTAGGTTCCCAACTAGTGCCTGTTAGTGACTCGAACTTGGACGATTCAAGAGTTTGTCATTCAAGGACACATTTGATTTTCATCTTATAAAACCCTTTACCTTTTCCATGATGCAGCTATAGCCCACCTCTCTGTGTGCCTGACGTGGTTAAACAGCAAACCCGCAGTGAAACAGACAGCAGACAGCTTTGAATCACAGCTGCAGCCACTGGGTGGGTTGGGGGGGGGGTCCATTTGAAAATGTGTCACAAGCAGGAAACACTGCGCACAGTCTTATAAGTGATGGGGGAGTACTTTCAAGCAGCATTTGGCTTGGAAGTCCTTCTCTCCTTGCCCAAAGCGATGGCATCTGTAAAATCCTTTCTCCCCGAGGAAAGATGGAATTTTCCAACATGCATGCACCTATGATAGGTACTTCCAGGAATGTAAGAGCTACAACTTCAGCATGTACCAGGATCTCTGCAGCAGCAAACAGGAACAGAAAGAGCGAGGGCAGACAGAAAAAAAATAGAGCTGGTGAAGACCTCTCACTTGAAAAATCTGAAATTATCACCACTAGCGTCAAAGAAGCTGTGACTTCTCTGCAGTTGGTTTCTTGGTGGCCCTGATCAAAGAAAGCGACTCATCCAAGATGGAACGGAGTCAAGTATGAACAAGAATAGGACATGCATGTGCGAATACAGGACACTCCCAAGGGTCATAAGAGACCTAAGAGCCAGACAGTAAAAAAAAAAAAAAAGAAAAAGAAATGAGGAGGAAGTAGATTCCATTAGTAAAATCTCAACAAAAATTTTCACCATGTCCTGCAATGAAAGGACAGCAGTCATCATCAGAATCACATAGTAATTTTTAAAAATCTCCTTCAGGAAATGTTAACAAAAAAGAATAGGTCATATTTATTGAATGCCTTTACCAAGTAGGCACCTCAGATATATTTAATGTCACTCAAAGTATGCAAGGTATTAACCCCATTTTAGGGATAAAGGACTGAGACTCAGAGACGTTAGGAGACTTAACCCAAAGCCACACAGCTAATAAGTGGTGAAGCTGTTATATTGAACCCTAGTAGATTCATCTCCAAAGATGAGCATCTTTTTATACAACACCCTCTACTGCATGGAAAAACTGAGGTTCATGGGCTAGGTGACCCATGAGGTTTCCCAGAACTTGAATTATGGACCTAGAAAGGTGTTCAAGCCTGGATAACTGATTCCCATTGCATATTGTGTATAATATCTTTCTCCCTTCAGACTCTAGAAACAAAACACCTCTCTGTCTGTTGCTGCTTGGGTGGAATCCAGGGGGCAATAGGGTGTAGGAGACAGGACACCAGACAGTGTCAGACATCTGGGGCTTGTACCCAGGTTCACGCTCTACACAAACTTAGCAATCACTTAACCACTTTCACTCTTGGTTTTCTCATCTGGAAAATGAAAAGGTTGGAATGAAACAGTATTTTCCAAAGTGCATTCCACAGAACACTTGTCCTAAAAGAGATTCTACAATAAAGGAGTTTTGCAATCATACCTATGTGGAAAATACAGCAGAAAGGTCTACTGGGGAAAGAAACCAATTCAACTCTGCTTAACCCAGCATTTCCCAAAATTATCTGACCATGGAAGACCTTTTCCTTTAAGTCTTCATTATACAATCTAATGGATCTAGTGCTTCTTGAAACACCTTAGAATGTGCCCACTTAGCTTACAGCTAATGTATCTTATAGCTCTAATTTTTAACCATACTACAAAAACAGGCTAGAAGTCTTCAGCAAGTTCACATCTATCCAGTGCTTCACATTTTTATCTAATTAATATTCTTTATAGTTTATTCACACACAGCTAATATATACTAACTATAAAAACACAGCTTAGTATATACTAACTGTAAAAACTGTACACAGCTTAGTATATACTAACTGTAAAAACTCTCTTCATATGCTAATTTCTGATACTCTTTAACATAATTTAAAACTAAGGATGTCCCCATGTATTTCTGTTGTAAAATCCTTATTTGAAGAGCAGATATAGGGCACTAGGCAAGGGGAAGAATTCAACCTGGGCTATCACCAGGCTGTTAAAAATAATACCAGATAAACAAAGATATACTTCTGCTAAAGGTCTTCAATAATTCAACCAATGGAGTTTTTGCAAGCATAATCATTCTCATTTTATAGTCAGAGAAACTAAAGATAGCGAGATTATTAACTCAGCAAAGCATCCGTGTCTGGTCGCAGCCACGCGATGGAAATGCCCTCACCCCTCTAAACTGAGCTTGAACTAAGTCCAGCATATTTTTATGTACATACAAACCAACTATGAAGCAGGCAATCAGAACAGCTTTGAGGAAAATGTAAATAAGACAGGCAGGCAGGCTTCAAAAATCCAAGGATGCAATTCATTTCGTTGCGAAGCACCAGAGTATGGCCAAGTTATACTCAACAGATCTATTTCTCCAATTCAATAGAAAAATTATATCCATTATAAAGAAAAAGGAAAAAAAATGTATTGGATTTCCCTCCCCCCTCCTAAAATGCCACATTTCAATTTAGGAAACAGTAGAAACAAATTACCTACAGCCAATTTAAGATGCAAAGACAGCATCATA